GTTTAGGTGTGAGTGCATATGTGAGGCTGTGAGTGTGTGAATGTGTGTGCATTTGTGAGCGTGTGTGAGTTTATGTGTGAGTCTATGTGTGAGAATGTATGTGTGAACATGTGTGTATTTGTGTGTGTGTTTTGGTGTGTGTTTCTGTGTGTGTGTTTGTGTGTGAGTGCATGTGAGGATGTGTGTGTGTGTGTGTGTGTGTATCTCCAATGCACAGAGCGCAGAGGCCTGACGTACTCCGAGAGCAGAGCCAAGAAAGGGCCTAGAGCTGGGTTCAGCCCCGCCTCCCATCAGTGACCTTGTACCATCTTGCCTCAATGTCCCCATTTAAGAAGTGTGCCTGCGGCCGGGAGATGGTCCAGGGGTTAGGGTGCAGGCCATGCCTGTCACACCTGGCGGTGCTCAGGGCTCTCTTCTGGCAGGCTCGGGGGACCATCTGGAGTGCCAAGAATCAAACCAGGTCGGCTTTGTTCAAGGGAAATGCCCGCCCCCCCCCCCCCCAGTCCTCTGGCTCCGACTGATGTAGACAGGCAGATAGGGAAGGCCCCCTCCCAAGGCAATGGCAGTAAATTCCCTGGGAAGTCATAGCCCTGACCTCATGGAGAACTGGTGCCAGTCTGTAACAGACCCTTTGACAGAAGCTCCAGTAGGAACTTGATCACTTGATCACTTGATATCCCGTTTCTTATCGATTTGCTCGAGCGGACGCCAGGAACGTCTCCATCCGTCCCTGTTGCGTGCTAGTGTAGCCCAATGGCATCTGCTCATTCTAAGAATACAAACAGCCTCAAACCGATTGTTCAGGGTCTTGACGAAGAAGTCTGACCATCTCATAGGTGGGCGGCCACGCCATCTTTTGACGTCCCTTGGAATCCAGTTGGTAATGGCTCTAGTCCAGCGGTCATCTCGAAATCTCATTACGTGTCCAGCCCATCTGATTTTCAACGCCTTGGCAAACGAGACAGCGTCCCTGATACTTGACCATCGACGGAGCTCAGAACTCCAGATTCTTTCTCTCATTTGAGTGAAGCGGGTTACTCCAAGCATAGCTCTTTCGATTCCTCTTTGGGAGACCCAAATAGCGAATAGCGTTCTCATCCTGTTTTCCTAGGGCCCAGGTCTCTGAGGCATGTGTGAATGCAGGAAGGAACAGAAGGAACAAAAGGCAGAAAAGGAATTTCAAAGAAGACCATCACCACTCCCAACCCCCTTGGTAACCTCCTTAGCAATGAGCTTTTACCTAGATAGAAGCCACACAAGGGGGCAGGTTGGAGAAACCCTATAAAGGCCACCTTGAACAAAGCGAGGGCTCGCATATGCTGCCCGCATCTCCCCTCCTGAGATGTGGACTTTCATGATTTCGTGCCTAATGCTGGGGTGTGTGTCCCAGGGGCTCTCTCTGTCCTTGGAGAAACCCGGGCTCTCTCTTGAGCAGGTTACTCTCCTCTCTCTCCCACTTCCTCTCCCTCCTTCCCTTCAAAACCTCCAAATAAAAACTGTGTAACTTCACTACTCGTCTGCTCCTGAAATTCCTTTCTGCGAGGCGAGACAAGAACCCAGTAACCCTGGGTCCCGGTGGCAGAGGCGGATGGGGAGAAAGTGACTTTCTTTCTCCTCTGCATTTTACATGAGCCGCCCGTGGCATCACGGGGACGCCCGACTTCCTGGGTCAGGCATGGAGTGACATGGAGCAGAAGAGGCGGACAGGCATCAGCCCACGGCCATAGAAGGGTTGAGGAACTGGTCCAGGGCCTGGGGACTATTCGGCAGCATCTCAACTGCTTTCAGGTATGAGGCCGCCCTATCGGCGCCACAGTCTCAATCTCTCGGTCACACGAGGTGTGTGACTGTGGCACCCTGAGACCAGGCATGTGTGAGCCCCTCAGCCATGGCAGGCACTGAAGTGTGACCCCAACCATTGCACCAACAGTGACAGGGAGGGGTGGGCCCTGACCCTCCCAGTCACCGTCATTTTTTTTTCTTTTTGGATCACACCCAGCAATGCTCAGGGGTTACTCCTGGCTTTGCACTCAGGAATTACTCCTGGGGGACCATATGGGATGCTGGGGATTGAACCGGGGTTGGCCACATGCAAGGCAAACGCCATACCCGCTGTGCCATCGCTCTGGCCCCCAGTCACCATCTTAAACTCAAAAAAAAAAAAAAAAGCAAAAACGAACCCAAGGGAAGGGGGAAATGCATCCTGGCCGCAGCGTCCCCTTGTCCTTGTCAAAGCTGGTGGCCTTTGGGAAAAGCACAGCTCCAAACCATCCTGGCTAAAGAGGTGCTTCCAGAAACCATAGAAGGAAGACCTTTTGTTCCTTTTATTTAGGGATGTTTCTATAGAAAAACAGCAAGAAGAGTCCAACAAGCATCTGCAGGGACTTCTCCTAGGGTCACACGACATGTGCCGACAGTCACAGCATCTTCGTCATGGGGCTGGAGTAATAATAGCACAGAGGGGAGGGCATTTGCCTTGCACGCGGCCGACCTGGCATTCGATTCCCAGCATCCCATATGGTCCCCTGAGCACCACCAGGAGTGATTCCTGAGTGCAAAGCAGGACTAACCCCTGAGCATCGCTGGGTGTGACCCAACAAGCAAAATAAAATCGAAAAAAAAAAAAAGAGGAGTCACTTCACTGTGCTATGTAGGGGTGGTAACCGCTCGCACTTCTGAGGAGTGCGTGTCCCCGGAGCCAGTGCTTTTTCATGCTTCTAAATCACTGTATCACTGTCATCCTGTTGTTCGTTGATTTCCTCGAGCAGGCACCAGTAACGTCTCCTTAGTCCTAGTCCCGAGATTTTAGAAAGTGCCACATTTGAGGCTCTTTCAGGGTCAGGAGAATGAGACCCATCATTGTTACTGGTTTTTGGCATACTGAATAATACGCCACGGGGAGTTTGCTGACTCTGCTGTGTGGGCAGGATACTTTTGGTAGTCTGACAGGCTCTCCAGAGTAAGAACTAGATAATAAGATGTCGTGCGGCCACGAATGCAACCACACGCTTCTGGGAGCTGGGTTTTATATTTATATTTATAAAACATATTTTTATATTTTTAATCAAAAGTAAGTCTATTTTCCTTGTAATTTTTTACATATCTAAACTGTCTATGGCAAATTAACAAATGTGCAACACGTCCAGATTTATATGACTACATTCTACAGTAATTCTTAAAAATCCGTGGAAATTTAAATTGTGGATGACATTTATAGTTAACAGTGAAGTATTTATCCTGATGATACTCCAAAAAACATCTCAAATTGAGATAAAAAGAATTAGAAACTCTATACCTCTCCAAATGTAAAGGAAACTACTTCAGAAAAATATTCAGCTACTAAAACTGAAGGATAACAAGACAAAGTCTAGTGGCAGAACAAAGTAAATTAGAGGTGGGGAGTGGCCCGTGGTAGGACAGTGGGGTAAGACCTTGCACATAACTGGGTTCGAGTCTCAGTTCCCCACCTGGTTCCCCTAAGCCTACCAGGAGTGATACCTGAATGAAGCGGAAGGAGTAAATCCTGATCACTTTGGATGTGACCCCAAAGAAAAAAAAACAAAGAAATTATATTAGAGGTAGGACCTTAAACAGATTTAACTGGTGTTCGTTCGGACACCAGAGCGCACTGGAGTGTCCTGTAGTACCCGTTTTGGCCACGAGGTGGCAGCCGGTAACCTTCTCTTCGGCATCTCTTTTTCCTGGCCGCTCCATTGGGCTGGTAACCCTAGTGGAGATAGGGGCCTTTTCCCGCTGTCTTTTTTCCAAAAACAGTCCTCGACCGCCCCTCATCTTAAAGGCAACCACCAAAGAAATCTAAGGAAAATATAAGAAGAGGAGAAAAACTGTGCCTGCTGCTGCCTCCTGGCTATAATCAGTTACTTACTTCCAACCTTTCTCTGCGGCTGGTGACGCTGATGGGTTCATTTAATCCTATCTAGTCTTATTGCGGGGGGGGGGGGGGGAAGGGAAGGGATGAAACGCATCTATATGTGTCTGGGGCCTCTTCCTGCCTCCAAGCATGGGGACAGCACTTGGTTGTGTTCTGGGGACAAGGATCGAACCCGGGCCTCCAGCATGCCAGTGTAGACTCAGCCGGCTGAGACGACTCCCTGGCCCAAGTTTAGTAGGGCTTCTGTTTCTATGGTTTTGTTTGGGTTTGAGGGCCGCACCCAGAAATGCTCACCAGCTGCTCCTGGCTCTGTTGTCAGGAGTCTCTTTTGGTGGTGTGGGGACTGCCACCAGGATTGTGTCAAAGCGCGCACCTTAACACTCAAACTAGTTCTCCCTCCCAAGTGGGTTTTTTTTTTCTTTGTGGGTCACACCCGGCAATGCACAGGGTTTACTCCTGGCTCTGCACTCAGGAGTTACTCCTGGCGGTGCTCAGGGGACCATATGGGATGCTGGGAATCGAACCCAGGTCAGCCGTGTGCAAGGCAAACGTCCTACCCACTATGCTATCGCTCCAGCTCCCCAAGTGTTTTTTGACCAAGGGAAATTGCTTGCCTCCTAGATGATTTCATTTGAGAGCAATTTCAGCTCCCCTGCAGGGAATCTCCCATAGGACAGTGGTCACCCCCCCTCCACAACCCTCCCATCCCGGCTGGAACCAACAGTAGTGAAAGAAGCCATTGATAAGTTAAGAATTTATTACAATCCAGACACGGAAGAGAGACAGACTGGTTGGTATATTTTGCTTTGGAGTCACAGCTGGCAGTGCTCAGGGCTTACTCCTGTCTCTGTGCTCGAAGATCAGTCCTGGTGGGTTCCGGGGACCCTATAAGGGTGCCAGGGTTGGCGGCACTGCAAACCCAGAGCCTTATCCGCTGTGCTGTCACTCTGGTTCCCTGCCTGGAAACTAACTGTGAAATGCTCACTCCAGCCCACCCTTTGCTGGCACAGTTCTGGCACGGGTGTCTCTGGCTTCACGGGAACCTGATGCTGGTTGATGCGGGGGATACCCTGGACATCTCCCCTGTGGAACTATCAGGTCAGCGGCCTCATTCGTCCTGAGATTTCTTCTGGAAAATTATGTCCTGGGGGAAGCAGTTGAAGGGAAAAAAATCTGGCTTGATCTCGAAGGGCACGGATCTCGAGGGCGGCCGGGTGGTGCTTTCCAACTTGCTTTCTGGGTTGGTGGTGGCTGCTGGCGTCGTCTCGGCCTCTCCTGGTGCGGTCGCGGTCCCCGTGGTTGCAGCCTGAGTGACCTCGGGCACGGTCCTCACCGGGCTGCCCACGGCCGGGGCCAGGCCGATTCTGTTGTTGGCCCGATCGTAAACGGAGAAGTAGAGGCGCAGGAAGACGTCGCCCAGGATCCAGAGTCTGGACTGGGGCCAGCTGTCGGTGGACACGGCGAAGTTGCTGTAACAGCTCCACTGTCGCTGTTGAGAGAGAGAAAGGGCAGTGGACAGCGGTCAGTCCCGCCTGCATGCTCCCTGCTGCCTGGCCACCTCCCTGGCTGCTCAGCGGGAGCCCTCCCTGTGACCCCCCTTCAACTCTGGAGCACACAACCTCACTGCTCGTGTACCCGCCCTCCTGTGGGCTTCTGCTGCAGCAGCTGAAGGGACAAGGGGGGCACCCACGCAACCAGAAGGATCTGTTGTTCCTCTGCAGAAGGGGAGCTCCCCCTTCTGGCGGGGTAGGGAACTGCTCTCCCATGGGCGCCCCCTTGTGGCGTGGAGAGGAATGGTTCTCATCCTCCAAAGCCCAGCTCAGCCCCTGCTCCAGTTTTCCCAGACCTATAACCCACTTCTGTTTGGCCATTCCAGCCTGGACAGGGCCCCTCTTCCCAGAACCCACCATGTGCAGCGTTCTCAGCACGCAGCCATTACCCAACCCTCCTGGACATGGCTCCCTGGAGTGCCACCTCCGACCTCCGGGGGTGGGGGTGAGTGGGCAAGGACTTAAAAGTATTTCAATTCGGGGCTGGAGTGATAGCACAGTGGGTAGGGCGTTTGCCTTGCACGCAGCCGACCCGGGTTCGATTCCCAGCATCCCATATGGTCCCCTGAGCACTGCTAGGAGTAATTCCTGAGTGCATGAGCCAGGAGGAACCCCTGTGCGTTGCCGGATGTGACCCAAAAAGCAAACAAATGAACAAATAAAAGTATTTCAATTCTCTCTCCTGCGGAGGCGTTTCCTGGGGCTCTCCCTGGGGAGGGGCTGGTGTCACCTTCGAGGGCACTGGGGCTTTTGAGAGGGGATGAGGTGTCTGCGGGTGAGGGGGACCACCATCTCTCTCCCAAAGCAGGACTCCCAGGAAGCGGGACATTCATGATTATGGGATGGAGGGGTACAACACAATACTTGGGGGCTGTACCAGCCCCCCGCCAGCCCTGCTGGGACTGTCCCTGAGGGAGCCCCCATCTGGCTTTCTAAGTACCCCCAATCCAAGCTGGCTGAGCAGAACCACCTGAAGAATGAAGTCCTCAGCATCCCCGCTCCTTACACCTGGCCCTTGGTGGACACAGGCGGGGTCCCACACTGCTCTTTGCCATTTGGAGGTTCGTTTTGGGGGTCATTAGCCCAGCTTCTGGGGTGGGGTGCGGGGGACGTGGGGGGGGGGGGCAGGTGTCATGCAGTGCCTGTCATGGCACGACTTGGCCTCCAGAGGGCGCCCTGCCCCCTGCAGAAGCCCCCAGGATGAAGGCAAACCCCAAACCATCCCCAGGATTGCTCACCTGCCGGATGTAGGCGCTGGCTGGCACGGGGTACTGGACCCCACCGATGGTGAAGACGATGTCAGGCAGGGTGGTCCTGGCTTGACAGCCGACGATGTACTGTTGGAGGAAGAGGGAGGGTGAGGCGGGGCCCAGGGGACCCTTCCGTGTGGCGCGCCCCCCCCCCCCCCCCCGCAGGGCGGTCCAGGGAATGTTCCTTCACCTCGCCACCGTAGAAGTGCTGGGCGCCCATGAGGCTCTGGATATGCTGGACAGCGACCTGGGGGCCAATGATCAGCGAGGTTCCGGTGTCCAGCATGGCCTGGCAGCCGCGGTGGCAGGCGATGACCTTGCCGTCCATGGAGATGCTAGCAGAGGGAAGAAGGGGGTCCTGATCTCTCCGCCGCTGGCCCCCGGTTGCCCCCTCCCGGGATATTTCTAGAACAGCTCTTGTAATTTATCCTTCGCTCCCAACTCCTGGACCCTTTGTGATGGTGGCTTGGACCTGACTTCCGGTCAGCTCTTAAAATTCCCCAGTTCAGGTGCCCCTGGGCCTTTGCACCAGCTGGTTGTCCTTCTTAAATCTCCTCCTGAGCCCTCTCTCTCTGCCTCCTTTCTTATCTCTGGGTTTAGGCTTCATGATCATATTTCCAGGGGAAAATGTATCTCTGTGTGTGTGTGTGTGTGTGTGTGTGTGTATGTGTGTGTGTGTGTGCGTGTGTAGCAGAAACAGTACAATGAGTAGGTAGGGGGCTTGCCCTGCACATGACTGACCCAGGTTCACCCCACATGGCCCCCACATGGCCCCCTGGACCCCACCAGGAGCAATCCTTGAGTACGGAGCCAGCAGTAAGCCCTGAGCACTGCAGGGTATGGCCCCCAAACCAAATCAACAGCAAAAACCCCAAGAAACCCCGTGTGTGAGGGTCCCAGCACGGGGCACCCCTGCCCCCAGCAGCAGAGACTTACCTGTCCACAGCGAGCTGCCAGTACAAGGGTCTGGTCACTGGCAGCCAGTGCAGCTGCCCGACGTAGTATGAGGGGTCCACCCCGCCGAACATCACCACGCTGCCATCCTGGCCTTTGCTGGGGGCAGAGGAAAGGCTCAGTGTGGAGAATAAAAGGGGGTCGTCTTTGTCCCCCTTGGTGCCATACACGCCAGGCCCACGCGTGGCACCTCACACCACCATCAGGAGCTGGCATGGTTTATTTCTCTTAGAGGGGGAAACTGAGGCACGGGTGCTTGGTGACCTGCTCCAAGACTTGGCTGAGGGGTGGGGGAAGCTGGGGTCTGAGCAGGATGGTCCCTCGGCTGGGCTGAGTGTCCAGCCCGAGCCTGCGTCTGCCCTTCCTTCCTGTCTTGACCTTCCTCGGACCGGCCAGCTCGGGCCGCCTGCATGCGGCTGTGTCCTGTGGCCCCGTGGCCTGCTGAGTGGTCTGGGTAGTAACTGACTCTCCAGGCAGAGGCCACTTCCTGCTCCCCCTCTCCCTCCCCGGAGGGACCCCGAGGGTCAGCCAATACAGAGTCCTTCCTCCCACAGGCCTCCCACCCCCTCCCCCCCAACTCCTCTCTCCCTGGACACGGCCACTGACTGTTCTCTCTCCCAGGAGGCCTCTGCTGCCTCGGGCCTGGCCTCCCTGCCTCCACCCGACCCTTCCCTCTCCAGCCTGCTCCAGGGTCAGTCTCATCCCTGCCTCACTCCCTGTTCCCCGCCCCCCAGAACAGATCCCAGGGGGACCTTGCCTTTCCGCACATAGATGCTGCCCCCCAAATATCTGGGGGTGACTCTTCCTGTGGCTACACACGTGTCTCCCACAGACCCCGGGAGTCTTTGTTCCTGCTAATGAGCTGAGACTTGAACTCAGTCCAGCCTCGGTCACAGTCTGCTCCAAGGGATTCACCTTTGGTGGGGAGACGCAATCTGTCAACTGGGCTCCCCTCAAGTTCCCCTTTCTGAAGACCCTCAGCCACTCAGGGGCTTTCCTTCTCCCCGTTACCAACTAACAGCACTGGCTGGAGGCCCTGGAATGCTGGACCAGTTCCAGGGCTGAGTTCAAGTCCTGCCACCAGCAGTACTGACTTGGTTGTTCGTGTAAAACTCCTCTCTGAGTCTCAGTTTCCCTATCTGTCTGTCTAGCAAGGAAATTAAACTTCCACAGGGGGGCAGAAAACACTTTCTGCAAAGGGTTTGTCTGGGATGCTACAATGTAAACGACTGAGCAGAGTGGTGTTCCAATAAAGTTTTATTTATAAAAGCAAGTGGTGGGCCGGATTCGGCCCCCAAGCCGTAGTCTGCTGACTGCCGCCTCTAGCTTATCTCTCAGGAAACTTCAGCTAAGTGGGCCTGGCTTACACCTGCGTGGGAGCAAGGGCTCACACAGCCCCACCTTACCTGCTCAGGTAGAAGGCAAAGAGGTTCTCGGAGAGGAGGCCTTGCTTCCACAGGTTGTCAAAGACGGGGGTGGTGCCTGGGAGGCCCAGGTTGGGGTAGCCCAAGCCCAGGATGCCATCGAAGGGGGCGTGCTCCAGGGACACGCTGGGCTCCTCCACGCTCAGGCCGAACGCCTGGTTCTTGTCCGTGAGGCCAGCGATCTGCAGGGGGAAGAGGGAGGCTGCAGCAAGGGGGTGGCGGGCCGGGCGGGCTGCCGAGGCGCCTGGACGCTGAGGGGCCCCAAAAGTAGCCACGGGCCCTGCTGGCATCAGCACCGGGTCGGCCTGTGCTTCCTGCTGTACTTGGGGCCTGATGCTCGGAGGAGATCCAAGGACCATGTCCATGGAAGGCGGGGGGGGGGGGGGTTGTCTCTCAGTGGGGAGGGGTGGGCCACAAGCTCTGGGCTTTCCTAGGGGCCAGGGAACTTTCAGGAAATGCATGCTTGGGAATGGGATGAGAGAGAGAGAGAGAGAGAGAGAGAGAGAGAGAGAGAGAGAAGAGAGATGGAGAGGGAGGGAGCAAGGCAGGTACTCAGGTACATTGGGGAGATAGCCCATAGGTTTTTATCAGGTTCTCAGGACCCCACCCCCACCCCGCCCAACCCCAGAGCTAAGAGGTGCTGGCAGCTGAGACTGCCCACGGAGGGGGTTGTGGCTCCAGGACTTGTCCCCTGGAACTGGCATGAAAGTGGGAGACTGGTCCCCATCTCCCTTCTAGGCTCAGCCTCGCCCCACTCAGCCAACGGTCCACTCTCCGGGGAGTCCTCCTGGGCAGGGACACCAGCTCCCAGGGACACGTGCCCCCTGCCCCGCTGAGGGCTGAGGACCGTGGGGGAATCTGGGACCCCCCCTCCCCGACCCTGGACAGTCACACTCAGGGGCCCCCAGCTCCCGCCCCCCCCACCTCCCGACACCCTGGGGGTCCCCACCTATACCTTCACGTTGTCGTAGCCGACAAACCCGTTCATGGCCCCCGTGCCGTAAGCCAAGTTCATGGGCCGCCCTGACAGGCGGAAGGTGGACGACAGGCGCGGGTCGAACACTCGGTGGTACACTGGAGACAAGACACAGGGGTGAGGGGCTGCGGAGGGCCGGGAAGGGGAGGGGGTGGAGGTGGGGGTCCCCGCGAGGGAGGGGGGTGGGGCTTACTGCAGGCCGGGCTGGAGCAGTAGACGGAGGGCACCCACATGTCAGTGGAGCCCGTGTCGAAGACCATCGAGAACTCCTGGGGGGGCGTCCCGACGCTGATGGTGCCCACGTAGATCATCTGGGGTGGGGGAGGGGTGGTGAGGGACGGGATGGGACACCCCGACCCCCACCCGGGGCCTGCTCCTCCCTCGCTCTCAAAACCGCTCAGCGTTTACTCCACATCTGAAAAGGCTTGCCTGGATGCTCCCAAAACCCTTTGCATTTTTTAATTTTTCTTTGCTTTTTGGGTCACACCTGGTGATGCACAGGGGTTACTGGCTCATGCACTCAGGAATTACTCCTGGCGGTGCTCGGGGGACCATATGGGATGCTGGGAATCGAACCTGGGGCGGCCATGTTGGCTGCGTGCAAGGCAAACTCCCTACCCGCTGTGCTATGGCTCCAGCCCCTATAATAGCTTTACATTTAGCTGTTGCTGCTGCTTTGTTTGTGTGTGTGTGTGTGTGTGTGTGTGTGGTTTTTTTTTTTCTTTTTGGGTTATATTGAGCAACGCTCAGGGGTTACTCCTGGCTCTGCACTCAGGAGTTACTCCTGGCGGTGCTCAGGGGACCATACGGGATGCTGGGAATCAAACCCGGGTCGGCCGCGTGCAAGGCAAACACCCTACTCACTGTGCTATCTCTCCAGCCTATTTTTTTAAAATTTTTTTTTGGGGGGAGGCAGAGGTGGGCACACCCAACAGTGCTCAGGGCTTACTCCATGCTCTGCCCCCTAGGGATCACTCCTGGTGGTGCTTGGGATCAAATCTGGTTCAGCCTCACCCACTGTTCTCTCTCTCAATCTCTCTCTCTCTCTCTCTCTCTGGTCTCAATCCTTCCCCTTCTTTATGGCCCAGCCCAAAGGCTTCTTCCTCCAGGCAGTCCTCCCGGCTACTTCCTTTAAGTCCAAACATGTGCTATGGCCTTCCATACCGCTGGCCTTCTTATTGGACGCGGCTTTGCTTCCCAAGCTGGCCAGGGCGTTTGCCCAGGAGAAAGGGCCCCCTTCATTCTCGACACTAGTCACCGTCGTGCTGGACACAGTGTAGGGGTTTGGGCCCTATCTGGGGGGCTGGTTGGGGGGGTCCCGGGAGTCCTGCATGTCCTAGCCCTCTGCACCATCTCCCTGGCCCCGCGGTGACTCCTCGTACGGGGCCTGAGGAGACCCCCGTGCCTGCTCCTCTGCCTTGCTTTGCTGTGCTGTCTTTGCCGTTGGGTCTTGGGGCTTATCTGTTGGCTCACGAATGGCTTAATCCAGAGTGCATAGTGCTCCCTCACACTGAGAGAGGCTGCAGGGTCCAGGCACGGATGGTTGGCATCGAAGCAGATATGTACCTGCCCTCCTGGCAGCGTTCCTCAGACTCAGAGGGGAGGGGTGGGTAATATTGCCCCTAGACCCCCACACCCCACCTCTGCCCTGCTCCTGCTCCCTCTGTGGGACTGGCCACTAGGGGGCGCTGTGGAGCGGAGGGCAGACACTGCCCCTGCCCCCCCGCCCCCCCACACACACACACACACACTCACTCACACACACACAGCACTCACATCCAGGTAGTTCCTCAGACTCTTCCGGACTCCCTCCTGGCTGCTGGCAAACTTGTAGGACGGCATGTAAGGATTCTTCTCCAGATAATCCTTCAGCAAGTTCTTCTCCCTCAGGTTTTCCCGCATGGACTGCACCTTCTTCAGCGGGATCCTTTAGGGTCACGTAGGGGAGAGAGAGACGGAGACGGGGGGGGGGGGGGGTGTCAGGACGGGCCCTCCCAGGAGCCCCTGACCCTGGCAGTTGGTTTCTGCGCCTTCGCAGAGGTGATAATCCAGACTCCCGCAGATCACCAGGACAGCCAGTGGCTGGCGGGGGCCCGTGACCTGCCCCAGCCTCAGTTTCCCCCTCTCTGTACAAAGGCAGAAGGGTCGTCTCCCTGCTCCCCTCATGACAAATAGAAACGCCCCATGCAGGTACTGGACCACGGCTGTCACCTTGCCCGGCCCCGCGAGGGGTCCGACAGGCAGGGTGGTCCTGGCGGGGCTGGTGTCATGCTGCCTTAGACGGGGCCCACACGCAGCCCTCCTGCTCGCTCTCCCGGTTCCTCCAGGAGGTGGGAGGAAACCGGGCTGAGCAGCCCGTCGCGAGGCTCAAGCCAACGGTGACAGGGAAACTGAGAGTCAAGGGACCAGGAAGGATCAATGCTGCTGGCACGGAAAGGAGAGTTTTGTGCTGCAGGGACCGCAGAGGACAAGGAGCTGCCCAGAGGAACAAACGCTCGCCCGGAACCAGCAGTGGAGCCGTCGATGCGAACGCAGAAGCCGCCGTTGCCAGCCGGGACCGGCCGCCCTCCCTGCACACTGAGCCCTGGCCGACCTCGAAGCCCTGGGGACTTCACGCTGTCCCCACCGCAACAAGAGTCCCTCTGCTGGGGACGCAGCCACGAGAAGGTGCCCGACTGGACCAGGACCCTGAGGCGCCACGCCAGAATGACCTTTTGCAGGTAGAGGGGCTTGGGCCACCCCCAGCAATGCTCAGGGGTGATGCCTGACTCTGTTCTCTGGGGGCCATCTGCGGTGCCGGGGGTCCTACCCTGAGGGTCTACATGCAAGGCAAGAGCCTTAACGTCCTGCCATCTCTGCAGCCCCGTGCCCAGCATCCCCGAGAGGCAAAAAGCTGAGGTCCCTAGGCAGGACATGCATGGGACTAAACCCGTTTAAGGCCTCTCTAGAGACACTTATAAAATCCGGGGAACTGGGTGAGGGAGAGGCTTTAAGGACTGAAGCACATATCTTGCATGTGAGAGGCCTAGGTTGGATCCCCAGCACCTGAGCACAGTCCCCTGAGCACTGCCCGGAGCACTGGGCTGGGAGTAATTCCCATGCAATGCCAGATGTGCCCCCCTGCCCCCAATGATGGGGGGGGGTTAGACAGGTGCAGAAAGAACTGTGTGTCCTTGCAGTTGAACAAGGCAAACCTTAGAAGTCTCCTCCCTTGCTTATTAGGACTGCCACCTTGGGGGCCAGAGAGATAGCCTAGTGGTTAGGGCACTTGCCAATTCCTGGCACCCTGTAGGGTCTCTAAGTCCTGCCAGGAGCATAATCCCTGAGCTCAGAGGCCAGGAAAAAGCCCCGAGCACCATCCAATGTGGCCCCTAAACCCCTCCCCCAAAAAAGAACTATAAAGAATTGCCACCTCCAATATGGGCCGTTTACCGTTGACTCGTGTCCCTGTGACCAGGCGCTGACAGAGCTACCCTGAGACAGCCACCCGCCACCCCACGCTGTAGGTGGCAGGATCCTCACTTAGGGAAGGGAGATCCGGACTCGCAGACCTGCAGGGAATGGTGCCCCCCCATGCCCCGGGGACCCCTGCAGGAGAGGTGGGGAGGCCACAGAGAGGGGCCACCAGGAAGGAGGCGGCTGTCCCCATACTCACTTGACGATGCATTCTGAGAGCGCCACCAGTGCCAGTAGCAAGAGCCACCTCATGGTTCTGGCGGGCGGGTCAGCTCTGAGCATGCCCGGCTGTTGGGAGCTGTCGCTTATAAACCATCCCGCCCGCCTTCCTGGTCCCCTCCAGGCCTTTGCAGAGGGACTGATAGGGATCGCCCAACCTCTCTGATAGGATCTTTACCACCACCCCCCCTAAAACCTCAGTGCTCCTCGGAGGGGTCTTTGGAGATTCCCCCCAAGCAGAGATTTCCATTACGATCCTTCCCCGGGGGGTCTTGGCTGAACCAGAAACACCCCCAGCCCGTGAGACTCTCCCAGACCCTACACCTTCGCTATCTGGGAGATAACGGCTAATAACGTTAGATAGAGCCAGGTGCCAGTTGCCATACTTGGGATTCCTGGCCCATCAGCAATCGGCCCCCTCCCCGGCAGGTGTGTCTTATTTTTTTTTCTTTTTCTTCTCATTTTTGAGGGGCTTAGGGCTTTCCTGGCAACACTCACAAACTGCTCGAGGCGACGGGTGGTGGTGGGCGGGGGGGGGGATGAGGCACTTCTGCAGGTTCTTGGGGGGCATCGTAGACAGTGCTGGGGAGCAGATGTGGGTTGGCTGCGTGCAAGGCGAGTGCCTTCCTTCCTGTCCTCACCCTTGGTATTTTGTTCTGTTTGGGGGAGGCGGAGAGGGCTGGAGCGATAGCACAGCGGGTAGGACATTGCCTTGCACGCGGCCAACCAGGCCGACTCGAGTTCGATTCCTCCGTCCCTCTCGGAGAGCCTGGCAAGCTCCCGAGAGTATCTCACCCGCACAGCAAAGCCTGGCAAGCTCCCCATGATGTATTCCATATGCCAAACACGGTAACAACAAGTCTCATGATGGAGACGTTACTGGGCCCGCTCGAGCAAATCCATGAGCAACCGGAGGACAGTGCATTGCAGTGCAGTGGAAGGGCTGTCCAACGGCTGAGTGGCGGTTTGCGGGTCAGCCCGCAACACCTGAGTGGCGTTAGTATCAGCGGCCATGTCCACATCCGGCCATTCTTGGTATCGCTCTGCTGCAGAGCAGAGATTTAGGCGAAATGATCATGGCACTTGGGTGTTTCGGTTTATTTGTTTGTTTGTTTGTTTTTGTTTTGGGGCTACACCTGGAGGTGCTCAGGGCTTACTCCTGGCTCTGGGCTCAGGGATCACTCCTGATGGGCTCAGGGGTCCATAGGGGATGCCGGGCATTGAACCCTGGTTGGCTGTGAGCAAGGCAAGTGCCCGACCCGCTGTACTGTCACTCCGGCTCCTGTGGCAATGATTTGATGTTGGCGGTGAGGTGAGGGAATTCAAGGCATGTCATATGTCGTACGTCCTGTGTGCACTGACCTGCTGTGTGCAGGTGGGCGTCTGGGTGGGAGGCTGCAACGCCGAAGTTCAAAGCGCATAGCTGGGCCATGCCCTCCCGGGGCTCGCTGCTGGCCAGGACTTGGTTCCTGGATGGGGAGGGTCTGCACCATCCTTGGGGTGCTGTGATGGCTGGCCGCTTTTTATTTATTTTATTTTTTTGCTTTTTAGGTCACACCCGGCGATGCCCAGGGGTTACTCCTGGCTCTGCACTCAGGAATTACTTCTGGCGGTGCTCAGGGCACCATATGGGATGCTGGGAATCGAACCCGGGTTGGACGTATGCAAGGCAAATGCCCTACACGCTGTGCTATCGCTCTAGCCCTGGCCACTTTTTCAAGACAAGTCCAAGACATTCAAGAATTGGAATATCTACGTGTAAAGTTGCATTTGCTCCTTAAAAAAAAAAAATCCCAGACTCCAGCCAAGCCCTGAGGCCCGGGCTGGGCTGGTGTGATTTGTAAGCAGGTGGGAGTGGACGGGGGCTGGTGACAGCGGTACTCGGTTCCTGCTGGGGTCAGTGGCCACCAGAGCCACAGGTCAAAGCATGAGCTTTTCTCCCACCCTAAGGCAAGACCACCAAGGTCAAAGCAGCCCCTGTGAGCCAGCCACGTCCACCTTCTAGCCCCCTGGATTCCTTGAGAGCCTGACCTTGGCCTTCAGAGCCACCTTCCAAGGGGGTCATTCATTCCGTGTCTTCTCCAAGAAGACCCCAGCGTCCATGTCTGCAGCTGTCCAGCCTGCCCCGAGCAGTGCTGCCCACTCCACGCTGCCTCAGTGCAGCCCAGGCAGGAACACAGACTTGGATGCCTCCTCCAGGAAGCCTGGAGTCTTGCTGCTCCTACAGGGCCTCAGTCTGGCCTTGTCTCTTGGGTGGGAGCGTGAGGAGGCTGTGGAGGTCCCTGGATTTGTGGCAGGGTCAAGGGGTGCTGTGTCTTTTTTTTTCTGGGGGGGGTCACACCTGGTGATGCACAGGGATTACTCCTGGCTCTGCACTCAGGAATTACTCCTGGCAGTGCTCAGGGGACCCTATGGGGTGCTGGGAATCGAACCCGGGTCGGGTGTGTGCAAGGCAAATGCCCTACCCTATGTGCTACCTCTCCAGCCCCAGGAGGGTGCTATGTCTTACTCCCCATTTTTTTTAATATTTCAGCTTTTGATGACACTTAGCAGTGCTCAGGGCTTACTCCTGGCTCAGTGCTCACTCCTGGCTCAGTGCTCAGCCATCACTCCCGACGGGGCTCAGGAGACCATATATGGTCCTGGGATTGAACCCAGGTTGGCTGCGTCCAAGGCAAGTGCCACAGCTGTGGGCCGCGGGTCAGGTGCCCACTCTCACATGTTTATACGGTTCTGTTTGGGCGACTCTGCCCTCAGAGGTGGGCACGCACCCAGGGACCAGCAGATGTGCTTCCAGGACTCTGTGCCCCAACAGAGGCCAAGGGAGACAGTCCCACGGTTTTCAGTGTCCTGTTAGTTCTTCACAAAAGCGAAAGATTAGACAAGGTCAGAAGGGGGTGCTTACAGAGATTGTCAGATGAGCCATGTACCAGGGCCAGGGGATGGCACGGGAGAGATCAGGGGAACATGTTCAGCTAGAAGGAAGAGGAGGGGTGCAGGGGGGGCTCAGCGGCCGCTGGTAGTTCATACCCTTGTAGGTTTATGTTCCAAAAGGAACTGGAAGGCAGGCCGGAGTGACAGGACAGCTCTGGCCTTGTAGGCGGCTGGCCGGGATCAACCCCGGCATCCCATAGTGTCCCCAAAGCATCGCCAGGAGTGATTCCTGAGTGTCGAGCCAGGAGTAAGCCCTGAGCACTGCTGGGTGTGTCCCTCAAGCTAAAAATAAATAAATAAATAAATAAATAGCCAAAGAGACTGAAAGCATCAACCAGGAATGAATAGAAAGAGTTATTTCTTTTGGGGGCTCTGCTTTTGTTTGGGGGCCACATTTGTTGATGTTCAGGGGTTATTCCTGGCTCTGTGCTCAGGGGTCACTCCTGGTGGGGTTCGGGGGACCATGTGGAATGCTGGGGATTGAACCTAACTCTACCGTTTATGAGGCAAGCACCTTACCTGCTGAACTATTTCCCTGTCCCCTAGAAATAGTTACTTTTGAGAACAAGAGGGCAAGAAAGCGAGTGTGCCTTTGCGATTGTGCTGGTGTTGAGCAGAATTAAGAGAGAAATGACAAGGGACAGGAACCATAGCACAGCAGGTAGGGCGTTTGCCTTGCACGTGGCTGAGCCGGGTTCGATTCCCAGCATCCCATATGGTCCCCCGAGCACCTCCAGGATTGATTCCTGAGTGCAGAGCCAGGAGGAACCCCTGTGCAATGCCGGGTGTGACCCAAAATAAAAAAAAATCTGTCACTGTCACTGTTCTCCCATTGTTCACCGATTTGCTCGAGTGGGCACCAGTAACATTGTGAGACTTGTTGTTACTGTGTTTGGCTTATCGAATACGTCACGGGTAGCTTGCCAGGCTTTGCCGTGCGGGCGAGATACTCTCAGTAGCTTGCTGGGCTCTCTGAAAAGCCAACTGGCCAACCTGAGTTCGATTCCTCTGTCTTTGAAAAAATATATAAAGAGAGAGAGAGAGAGAGAGAGAGAGAGAGAGAGAGAGAGAGAGAGAGAGAGAGAGAGAACAAGACAGAACAAGACTCCCAGCCCTCCATCACGGGGAGTGAAAGAAGTTGGGAAAAGCAGATATGGGGTCACTTTCCTCGTCTGAGGGGGGGAGCAGGGGACAGTGGGTCTGTCCAGATAAGGAGTCTCCAGTAAAGAGAACCCCTGGGTTGCAAAGCTGAGACTCCACAGAGGTAGAGCATCACGATGGGGTGGTCGGGGTAAGCGGTGGATTAGAGGTGGAAGGGGCGGGGGTGGGAGTTCCGGCATTGGTGACGGTGAGGGTGCGGTGACTTCCTAGGACAAAGCCATGAGCGCTTACCCTGCTGTGACAGTTGTACCTAAGTTACAACAACACAGCCAAGACAAGCCCTCAGCCCTCTCTCGGCAGAGAGAAGGACCCAATTGTCTCCACTTGGGGCATAAACCCACAGGGCACCACCATGTCTTTAAGTGATCCTTCAAGGCAGAATTTGGACTCTCTGTTTGCTATCTGAGACTTTCACCAAAGATAAAGAAGAGAAAAGAAAGAAGCAAGAGAAAACCATCCAAGAACTGCACAGAAAAACATTTGAACTCTATTTTTGGTAGCATTGTTACTGTTCCTGTGAAGCTATTGTCTGTATAACTTTTTATTTTATTTATTTTTATTTCTCTTTTTTTTGTATAGGTGTTTTTCTAGGTTAAAAGAATGAAGGTATTCTTATGTGGTTTTGAAGGAGGATTTCAGTGGAAGAGAAAAAGGGACATAAGTGTAAGACAAAAAAAGTTCAGTACAATTCTGCAGTCTTAAAACTTGAATGGGGCGCTGGAGTGATAGCACAGCGGGTAGGGCGTTTGCCTTGCACATGGCCAACCCGGGTTCGATTCCCAGCATCCCATATGGTCCCCTGAGCACCGCCAGGAGTGATTCCTGAGTTCAGAGCCAGGAGGAACCCCTATGCATCACCAGGTGTGACCCAAAAAGCAAACAAAAAAAAAACTTGAATGGGAAGAATCCTTTCTTCCTTACTTCGTTACTTCTTTCCT